ACCAGCTTTTCTCTGCGTATTTCACAGCTGTACTGGTCCAAGTAATGTTCACTGGTGGAAAAACGTGTGTGTGTCACATGGATATTGAAAAGACTTCACTATTTACATCAAATGTATATCTACTCCTTTAGAGGTAGAAGTTTTTCATAAGTGTTTAGATATGCAAATATGGACAATTTCTTGCTACTGCTCAGGGATTCTAGGAATGCAGCATCAATGGACATATTCATATTTGCTAGAGCATGGACTGAGTTTTAGCTGGTTACTGGTTCAGTTGGTTAATAGTTAAGGATTTCTACTTTCTTACTTCCCAACAATCTCTGAGCATTGAAAACTTCCCCAACATGAAGTTTCAATGCACTGCTGTGCAAAAGTTTCCTGGGTTATCTCATGCTTCTGTTTATTAAAGAGGCCCTCTGATGGGTTTTAATGATCATCCTTTTGTTCTGTATATATGAAACCAATGTTCTTTTCTAAAGAAATGACACTGTGGAGATGAGGTATGTTCCAGTTAGTGCTAAATTAGAACCAAAGTATTAAAAAATGTCTGAGTGTTCCTGCCCTCAAGTGTTGGCAAACTTTGTAGAATACTTTTATAACTTGCTCATGTTGAGTGTTTCTTTAGGAGGAGATGTATAAACCAGCATTATATCAGGTTTAAAGGGCAGTAGCAAGAAGACATGGTTCATGACAAGAAATGGCACACAAAACAAATCTATGAAATTTCACCAGCAAATTTTTCCTTTGTGGAACAAAATATTCTGACATCCAATCATCAGAAAGTTATCAGTTCTGAAAGGCAGTAAGCAGTGAAACACACTGGAAAAAATATAAGAATCAGTGTGAAAATAATTTCCTCAGTGACATACCACCCTAACACAATCTGTCTTTTATGTGCTGCCTCCTTGACATTTCCTTCATTCTTCTTTACATTCTAGTCAGTTCCACAGTAATGGAATTACATTCAGCTTTCTCATTTCACTCTCTTCATTCTTATATATAATTTCTACAGAAGTATTATTTTCATTTCATTAACACCACTTCCACCTCTCAATCCACCTCTTCTCTTCATCACTTTGCATTTTTTCCACTAATTTTTGCTCTTTTATTTTGCATCTTCCTTTGTTTTCTATTCAAACAATTAACAATAGCAAAGAAAGGGACCATTTTTCATAGCAAAGAACAAATATTTCATTCTGCATCTGTGATTACATCATGTCTTGCACTGCTGCAGATATCTTCCCAAGCACTCACACCCCTGATGTGTATTTGGGTGGTTGGAACCTGTCCTGCTCTGCATGTCTTCGTCTCCTTCTCGCAGTCATTTTCCAGATAACTCTATGCTCACTTTTCCACCCCAAAGCACAGTCTTTGCCAGCAACTTCACCACAATTAACCTGCTTCTTTAGCTGGAGTCACAGGTTTCCTGTGGCTTCTTTCCTTCATGTAATTGTATTAGTAGTTGTGCTTTCTCCATGTTACACGATATGGCTTCATACTTTGCCTTTAAGCTGACAAGCTATCATTCCATCAAAAATTTAATGAGGAGTCTGACAAACCATTACAGATATTTTTCCATGTACCTCCATGTGTATGGAAAGCCAGTCGTCTCCTGTGGATTCTTCACCAAAGAATATGAGACTTCGAGTATTCTAAAGGAACATATTATCTGCAAAGCAAGACCTAGAGGGTTACATTAGCATGAATACCTAAATATTTCCTGGGTTTTCCTGGTACAGGTGTAGCCACACAGCCTCTCTGATACAGATTCTGCTCCTAGTTACTAAAAAAATTAATGATTAGAGAAAAGAGAAAATAAATTATGAAGAAACCTACTTTTACAGTTATTTTCACGAGTGAATGCTAACTGGGAGTGAGTTTGATGGAAATAATAATAATAATCAGTTAATATGTCTCATATCTTAAAGACTAGGTCCTCATTGAAAGCAAGCCTTCCACGGGGCATTCTAAGTTTCATTCAGATTTTAACAAAATGAAGCAGTCAAAGATCAATCATCTTGGAACTGAATGAAAATCCACAACAGCTAATGCAATGTAGATACGTTCATGAAAAAAACCTGTGTATGGAGGCATGCACAGTATTGTACCACATGAAAAAATACACATGAATTCACTGAGTTCAGGCCAAGAGGATCTTATGTCGCTATTTTTAAAGGTGATAATGATAGCATTGCACCAGCAAAGAAACAGTTGTTAAACTGGTAGAAGAAATGTTGGGAAACTCCTAGTTTCCTTTCAGAATATTCATGCTTAGTCTCCAGTATTTCAGACTCAAATGTCTACTTACAGAAAAGTAAGTTTTAGGCAAATCTAGCTCAGGACTATGTCTCTATTCAATATAGACATATAAATATGTGTATACCTATATAGATATGCATACCTATATAAATGTCACAGTAAAGAAAAAGCATAGGAGATAAAAAGTTTTGCTTCTCTCTGCCACTTAACAAGAGTAAGACACTTCAAAGCCATTTCATCCACCTTATCCCTTAGTTCTCCTTCTTTAAAATAAGAACTTAGTTCTATCTCAAATGGAAGAACTTGGTGAGAATTGCATTAATAAGAGTGTTTGCTAAACTAGGAAATTGCCTCCTATTTCCAGCAGAAAGGAAAACTTCTGGCAGTACTGTTAAGCTACAGAGAAATACACTAAGTAGAGCAGTTTTCTGAATGTTCACATGATCTGGAGTGAGGGAGATTCAAGGACACTTTACAGATAATTTATTTTCAGTCACTTTTAAAATTTTTCTCTTCAAACATTAATCACAATAAATGTAATACACTGTACAAAGAATTGCATATAGACTTGTAGTACTGCTAGGTTTGACCTGTGTTTACCTGTAAGGTAAACACATCAAAAATGCTTCAAAAACAGAAGACAAAATAAGGACACTTCAGATTGCATCTGCCTTCCTGAAGTAATTCACTAGAGAAAGGCTTCCTTTAAGCATTTTTTAAAGACTTTCTCTTTAGCCTGTAATATAAGTTGCACACACATGCATCTCCTTTCAATGGATATAATTTACTATTTGTGATGTCACAAGAGTGTTCCTACATTATTTAGATTTTAATGGATATTAATGGGAGAAAAAAAAAATTGTGCCTCTTTCATGTATGTCTTACCTTACAAAAGTATAAAGAGGCTATTCTCCCAATGTGTGATGCTCCATGTTTTTGGAATTACAGCCTTTAGAGATTTTTTTTGGCATTAAATTAAAACCACTAACAAATTGCTAGTGGTAAAACATTGCATGAACATTGTTTCTTGCAAAATATTGGAAATAACTATTGTAGCATTACTCAACAGTTAAGCAACCTCTGTTTACTGTAAGTATTAGCTCCTTGAACAACGTGTCCTGCATACGTAAATTCATTCCCTTTGGAACTGAACTCCCAACTCCTAAGATTTGGATCAAAAAAGTAAAACAAAAATATATGGACAAGTCCCCTAGCTAACTGGTCTAATATCCATTGTTGGAGGAAGCTGCTTACTTCAAATAAATAACTAAATAGAATGTGACTAAAGAGAACCACCATTCTTTTTCAAATATTTCCCCACAAACAGTTCTAAAGGATACATTTAATTTAATGAAAAGCATTCTTTTGTTTCACTTCTTGTACATACACCTGAGAATCAAATTGTGTACTCAATTCTCATTGGAAAAGTAACTAGAGCACTGTCCATCCTACTACTCAGAATCCCTAATTGGGCAATGAAGTTCCTTTTTTCAGGAAAAGAGTATTAACATGTTCCCTTATCTGTCTCTATCTATGAAAGGAATAAGAAAAGAACTGAAAACTTTGAAGAATTTCCTCAACCGTGAATAAGTTCAGCAATATGATGGGAAAGTATAATCTCTTTAAATTTCTCTCCTTTTCTTCCATATAGAGCTAGATTCAAAGAACTAAACATTGGCTTTTCTTGGAGGGCAGGATCAGAACTGATTGGTTTCATACTCTCTCTAGCATTCTTCTCTAGTATTGTACTGCAAATAGAAACAGCCTTGATGTATAACCTTAAGTCAAATTTCCTAGTTTTCCTCGCCCAGATTTTTAAGACTGTTCTCCTTGGATTTTGTAAACACAGAATGGAAGAAGTCTTGAAATATTTCCATTTCAAATCCATCCTTACAATGGAGCTAATACTGACTCTCCTCTGAGTTCCAAGAAAATTTCTGATCATTTTTTCACATTTTATTCCAAATATACATTGCAAGAAATAAAGAAATGGTGCCTTTTTATCCATGTCTTTGGACTTTATGTCATTTTTTTCTCTTTTAAGTCATCATTACATATAGCTTACTGATTCTAAAAACACAAATCTTAGAGGAGAGCTTGTTATTTAATCACTTCTACTGCGGTTGTCAACTGACATACAGAAAATTAATTTAGATCCTGCATTAATCCCAGAAGCTTAACAAAACTGGAATTTGGGAAGGAGCACAACCATCTCCACCGTACACTGAGAGGAAAGAATGTCACAACACATTTAGCACATACTATGCCAGCAGTAGTAAAGCAGAGATGGGAGTTAGCACCTGCTTAAGAGAAGAACAAGCATGCTAACACTGGGAGCCAGGGGAATTTCCCACTAAACTACAACATATAGAAAGTAGGTCACTTTTACTCTTTTGAGAATGATAAAAAGCAACAAAATTCTGAATTATATATGAACCATTACATTTAATTTTCTTCTTCTCCAGCAGCTCCCAGGAGTCTTGAAGACAGAAAAATCTGGATTTTACGACTCTGGCAGTTATCTAAGTAAATGCCATAGAATTCTCTACAACCACTTTTTATTATAGTTACAGATCTGTCAGCCTTTCTATTTTACTCCCCTTTACAATTCTTTCTGTACTGCTTGCCTCTGATTTAGTGTCTGCTATAAAAGTTTACTCCAGATATAACTTGGCACACAAGCATTTTACAAACAGGCTTTACCTAAAATAAATCTTTAATAAATCTGCAATTTAACTTACCTAGCTCTCTTGCCAGGTGTTATTGGCAGGAAACAGGGTCAAGTTCAAATGTCTGAGAGATCATCTCAAATAAATGTGATTGGCTGAAGTGCCCCACCCAGAAACCTGGGAAAACAAAATAGCTTCCCTGAGTGACCCTAAAAGTCAAGTATTTTCTATTCTGAAATATGGAGTCTATGCAAAACGAGAAAAATTTGATGTGGGGAAAAGGAGAACTGCAGTTTGATAGCATACAAAAAACCCCAGTGACATTTATGAATAGGAATAGCTAATCTGTCTGATAATAGAGTTGAATTTAGGGGTCACATTTTATTTGGTATAACATAGTAGGCTAAATGTAAAAAGCTCTATGGGAGAGAAGAAAAACTGGAGGTCAGTACCCAAAACAGACGCCTAGTAAAAGAACCAACCACTGCAATTTTCCTTAGGGACTAAGTTCAAATTCAGGGCAATGAATGTTGCTCAGTTGAGTTCACCAAGGATGAGAAAGGGCAAAAATACAGGCACAGATAGAGCAGGCAGCGGGAAAGCCCCAGAGACAACTAGACAGCATGTAGGATGATTTTGATAAAGAAATGAAGCAAGAAAGAGGGGCTTAGGGTAGACAATTATCTGAGGACACTGTTAAAGCAATAAGCCTCTCATGTTTACTTCTGGCATTCAGTGAACTGGAAGTTTGTAAATATAGACAGAATTGCAAGAAAGAATGATTACATTTCATCATAAATTTGAAAAAATATTGCCCTCAGATATCAGCTAATCAGAATGTGCTAGAAAGAGTGAAAAACCCTCAAAATAGCTCAGCAGCCGTGCACCTGAATCCTACTTCTCCCAGTGCAAACATCTTTGTAACAGCCCCTCCCATTCACCTGCTGAGCACCACATTACTGCCTGCACAGTATTAGAGTATAAAAGCATATTTTGACAACTTTATTCCCACTGGAAATGCCTCCCTGACCTCGTGTCAAAGCTGGCCCAAAATGAAGCCGGGGAGAAGTTGGGGACACTGCTGCAGCATGGTTAGCTCAGGCCCCGCCATCCCTGTCAGCCATCAGGTCTCACTCACACTTTATTAATTCTTTGCAGCCTTTAAAAATTAATAGCACCAAAGGCCTTAAATGTAGTCTTTTCCATCTGGGAACACTGGCTTGCCACAAGGCTTCAGTTCTGTTACAGCTCTCTCAATTTAAAGCCTTAAGAAATGTGTTGTTTTCTTATGTTACTACTCAGCATGTGGCATATGGAAGATGACAGCAGAGGTCGATATTGTGAGTTCTACAGTAATATAGAAAACACAATTTACAAAGAGACAAAATAAGGGTGAGAAACAAAGGAAATCATCGACATGGAGTGATGCCAGGCATGGTGGATTCCCAGACAAAATCTGTATACAGGCAGTAAAAACACCAGAACTAAGTCTCCCTGCAGAAGTTATGACGGAAGGAGAAAAAAATCATTGGTATGACAATGAGGGGCTATAGTGGGGGGAAGATGATCAGTACAATCCTGATGGAATAATGCCCCCAAATGCTGGAACAGATCATCAAAATATTCAAGGAACCCAATAGAAAGAATAGTAGATACAAAAATGTTTTGTTTTGCCTTTACCTGAATAAGTAATCGCATTGAATACTGAGAAAAAAAATGTTTATACTGCAGAGTTCTCATTCTTGGCACCCACAATTAATCTCAGAAAGAATGGAAGCAAAAAAGTCCTACATTTTTAAAGCAATAGACCTAGTCTTCAAAACATGCCACTCATTGAAAGAGCAACTGAAGTGATCAGTGAAAGGAATATAATGATAATGTATTGGTATGGAACTAAGCAAACAGCATGGAGCATGCAGGTGCCATGTATTGTAGATGCCATCTAACACATATGCTCCAGACTGCAATTTGACAGAAAAATTAATGGCCAACCTATAAACTGCAGTGACAGAAACAGAGGAAACAGAAACAATGTATATCCGTGCACCACTGATACGCCAGGAAAAACAACCACAAGCATCTATTCTTGCTGCTTCTGAGACCATTTGGAAAGACTTCCACTGAAGGGAAAGCATTCTGCAGCATCAGTTAGCAGATGCAGAGATTCTTTATGTACATTTATTACAGAAAAAGGCAGACAGATGCTCAGCTGCCACTTTTGCTCATATTATTAAGTCAGCAATAGATCTAAATCAAACTAGATGGCAGAGCCACCTTCACTTCAACTTCAGCCACATCACGAATTAGCAAAACCAGGTGCTGATGAGGTGTAATGAAAATGTTTCAAGACCAATAGGCCAAAATAAGCTGTTGATAAGAAGCCCATGAAACAAGTGATAATAATTCTTGGATTCAGCAGCAGATGACAAGATTGGATTTTATTTAAAAGGGACCATAATCCCATTGGATTCAGTAGCTGACACCAGGAAATGGATAAATACTTCACAACTGAGTACAGGCATGCCAAACATAATTCAGGAAACACAGCTCTTGCCAGAGATAAATTCTGGTTCTGAGTGAATATGATGCAGCATGAGGTGTGCCGAAATGACTGTGATCTTTGTAACAGGAGACTGCAGATTTTGTCAATCCCAGCTTCAACTGGGAACAGATCAGAACAGACCTACCCAGTTTCACTGACGAAATTCCATGGTCCAACTACATCACTCCAATTTCTGGAAGAAAGACCATCGTAATGACACAGACAAAAAGTTTGATTTGGAAACTGAAAGTTTGGCACAACTAGCAGATTGTGCTGAAACTGCTAGTGTGTCAAATCTTTTCCTGCTGTAGTCCTCCAACACCGCATTTTAAAATTTCATTGTGCAACATCATAGTCAGAAATATAACATTAAAAGAAAGGCCTTTATGTTATGTCCCCAAAAGAACGGACTTTCAGACATCAGCATGTACCACACCACTCATGATAAAGATACCCCTGACATCTTAAACTTGTTCTGCCTTGTTTTATTTGGTAATCTTTTACCACCTACTGTTTCTTAATATATAGTTTATAGTTTAAAAAATCCTCTTTCTTATACAATCACTTTATTCTGGTCTTCAATCAGTATCTGTATAAGACAGAAGCAGGAACAACATAACTTTACTAAAGGTAGAAGAATACAAGAAAGGATCAGGATATGAAGCTCTGCTCCATTTTCCTCACATAACTATCTGTGGATGATGACCACTGTATGAAAGATGGCAATGATAATGTTACTAAATTATATTAAAACATTCTATAATTCACTTACAGTTAACTCTTGCTCAAATATTACTTAAGTAGCACCCAATCAATTTATTATACCAGTCAAGTTCCAAGTGATAAATATTGTATATTACAAACAGACCAGATAGGCCAGATCACAAGCTGTGAAAGAAACCCCAATTTTACCCCAATAGCCTCAGAGGTTTGGCAGATTAATACATGCATATTATAAAGAATATTTTCTTCTGGAGAACTTCAGCAGATATTCAGCATAAACTATAACTTTGAATACCAAATGTGATGTATGCACCCAAAAGTGATCATTGTTTTTGCTTCTCAATAGAACTCTAGCTAACATCCCAAAAGGAATATAGGAGTTGGCCTCCCCTCAAGCCAGCAAATACATCAGCCACGACAGGACAGTGAAAAATGGGATGCAACACTTCTCTCCAAGCACATTCCACTGCCATTTTGCTTGTGAGTTCTTGAGTTCTTGGGTTCAAATGAGACTTCCTTTAAAGTAATATGGTGTATACTTCTGGTGATAGACTTCCACTAGCTTCATGGCTTGAAAAAGCCCAATATATACTAGTGGTTTAAAATTAGTAATAACAGTTCTGCCTTCTTTCAATCTGTTGAAAATTGTATAAAGGTCACAGCACTGCTGATGCCCACATTTTTTCTGTTTTACACAACTGAGTAAATGAAGTGACTCATGACAGCCAAATTCTGAGATCAGGCCCTAAGCAATGATGACATCAGATGCTGCCAAAAGACATTTGATTCCTCTATTGTGAAATGCCAGGTTGGTTCTGGGACATGGTGAGAAGCCAACTCTAGTTTAGAAAATTCTATAGTGAGCTATTGTTTGATACTAAATACAAGATCATCACTCCTGCTGCTGCTGCAAGTCACAGGGCATCCAAGGACACGTCTAACAATATTGCCACTTTCTACTGTGTTTGCAAAATACAGCAACAAAGCTTCAATCATCCAGACTATAGAGAGTGTCTGTGAGAGAATGGAGGCACAGGACTTGATGGCAGGAGTACAAATTAAGACGCTGAAGCTAATAAAGCTAATGAAAGCCTATCACCAGCAGTATACAGCATATTGCTCCAGAGGGGTTCTCATCTCCTACAAGTTTCTCTGCACCTGACATTTTGCAAAATCTTTTTATTTATTTCTGAGCAATACAGGATTTTTATTAGGTTTTTCATGCAACTAAAAGGACCAAATATTCCGTCATGACTCTCTGATACTATTTAAAATGCCTAAACAGAACTATTGCTGATTTCAGCCAGTGAGAGTCCTGTCCTAAAGCGTGAGTGATGTCACTGTGGTAAATTTACTATATTCACAGCAAAAGCAGAAAGAGATAACTGAGAGAGCAGCTCCTTGAACCTGAATAGTCTGTGCTTAGTAGACATGGGCTTGTTTGACTGGCAACTGTACAATTTATGTTGCAAGAGAGCTCATGATGTGTAACATATATTATGCTTTTAATTAACTTATTTTCTATTTTCAGTTTTGACTTTGGAAAAGAGGATAGTTACACAAAAGGAAAAAAACACACAATTTATTTGATTCCAAATAAAGTGATATGAAAAGGTTCTCAGGGTGCAGAGTATCAAATCAATCTTACTAAAGCAATTGTATTGTCTTCTTTTAAATATAGAAATATGACAAGGACAGCAAGTGTTTTGCACTGATAACATCAGTCTTTGGAAAATTCAAATAACACCTATGCATAATCAGATACATTAAATATTTGATTCTTTTTTTACTAGATTAATCTATAAAGACCCTCCTTTATTATATTTTATTAGATCAAGTTTCCAATTTACTCAGCAGCCATTCGTGATGGTGTCCAAGACGGATCCCAGCAAAGAGTGTGAGAACAGTGTAA